GTCTCCCCAGTGAAAACTGTGCCAACACAAACCCCCACTGTCCCCCAGGCTGAATCCTGGGACTCCGCATCTCCCAAAGGAGCCGGGGCCATGGGAGGTGCTCTCAGGTTGCTGTGCCTGGCCTGATGATTTAGTGGTGTCATCTTGATACTGCTTCTATTATGGGTTCCATTTATGGCCTCCCCAGTAGGGGCTCGAGCATGGCCATCTTGACTGTGGTCCAGCAGTGGCCTGTGGCTTATGGGAAGAGAGACCGATATCTAGGCCTTCATGTGGGACTTGATGGCAGAAGCTTCTCGGCGCCTCGACGATCTGTGGGAAGCCCCTCCCTGGGGGCCATGGGGTGGGCAGGGGGACCTGGGTGGGGGGATGCCTGTTCTGTCCCACCCTGCCCTGGTTAGGGGGGCCTGGCCAGTGACTGAAGGTGGGGACCTGCAGCCTGGGGCACTCTGGAGTGCCCACTGTGCCCCCAAGCTGCCTGGTGAGCGGTAGCATCGGGGCACCCTCGTTTCTGTCCGAGTCGCTCATGTACTTGTGTTCATCCTTCTCCACAGGTGGGGCCCGGAGTGTGCACCCCCACCCTCTCCTTCCCATGCACAAAGTGTTTTTTTGGGTTTCAGTGTTGTAAAGGTGAGCAGGGTTGTTAAGTTGTAAAAATTGACTGTGGTTTCTGCGGAAAGGTGTACAAAGACTCTTAATGACAGCTGCCCGAGGCTGACGGCCAGGCACATGACGCCCCACGAGCTTCTTTTGGGAATGAACAGGGTGGACTGCCTGGACCAGGGTGTACTGCTGGATGCAGTGCCTGGACGTTAGGTTTTTAAAGGCCACTGTTTTTTTTTTTTAATTTTTATTAGTGAAACACCATGAGATACAGTTGTAGTCTTACAGATGTTTGTGCTTGGGTTTCAGTTATACAATGGTTGAGTACCCATCCCTCCACCAGTGCCCATTCCCCACCTCCAACGCTCCCAGCATCCCCCCTACCCCCCAACCCCCATCCCACCCCACCTCTGTGGCAGGGCATTCCCTTTTGTTCTCTCTCTCTCAAGGCCACTTTTTCTTCCTTGTTGGCCCATGGTGCTGGGAGGCAACGGGAGGGGGTGTCTATCCCAGGAAGTGAGGGCTCGCGGAGCTGACAATGAAGCCTCAGGTTCAGAGTCAACCGCTTTCTATCCAGCCCCGGGTGAAAGTCCTGACTAAACATTGCCAGGAGGCTGGAGCCAGAATTATAGCAGGCAGGTGTTGACACTGCACACAGCCAACCTGGTTTTGATCCTGGCACCTCAAGCAGTTGCTCCGAGCCCTGCCAGGCAGAGAGCCAAGAAGCAACCCTGAGCACAGTTGGGTGTGACTCCCCTCAGCCCGCCCAAAGAACCCTACAAGTTGAAAAAAAATTTCCCCCTGCCACACACCCCCCCTGACCTTGCACCTGGAAGACCTGGACGCAGACCCCTGTCTCTGGTTGGCTACGTCATCTGACTTAAGAACTACTTTAGGTTTCGATTATATTTTACAGTTTGTAGAATCCTGGACTGGAGGTAAATATGAGAGTCCAGCGGAGTTTCTAGCCGAGGGGCCTAGTTCTCTCAGCCAAGACAGCAGGACAGAGCAACAGTGCAGCGGGTGAGGTGAACTCCAGCTTGAGTCCTGGCATTGCCCATGGTTCCCCGAGCCCTCGAGGAGTGATCCCGGAGCACAGAGCCAGGCATCAGCCCTGATCACTTCTGGCTGGGCTTTGAGACCATCTGGGGAGCCAGGGATCAAACCGGGCTCCCACAAAGAGCAAGCGCCCTGCTGGCTGTACTATTGCTCCAATCCTTTTCTTCCTTTTGCTTGTCTATGCACTTTTATAACTTAGTAAACATGTATGTGATCAAAGGAAAACAAAGACTTTGTTTGCCACAGAAACCCCAGGAAGACGGTCAGTAATTCCCAATCCGGAACTCTCTACCTCCTGCAGGTCCAACAAAGCAGTCCCCCACCCCGGGTCTCACTGACCACCAGGCAGCAGCGCTGTCTTGCATGTGGCAAATCCCGGCCACTGCATATGGGCCCCTTGAGCACCCCCAGGGAACTGCTCCTAAGCACAGAGCCAGGACCAGCCCTGCACCAAACCAGTAAAACCAAGGACTTCCTCCCCAATCTACGGCACTTCCTTGCTTCTTCACAAAACACATATTAGGTTGTGGGGTTTCTGGTTTTTTTTTTTTTAACGAAGAGAATCCTTGGGTCATGCAGTGGAGAAGCTCTTCGGATGACAAAGTCTGGAGATGACTCAGTGCTGAGACCACCCCCGTCCCACCACAAGCCCCCTGCTAGAGGGGTCCAGGGGGAGCCTCCCCAAAGAACGGGTACCCAGAGGGCGATATCCTGAGCACTTCCAGGAGTGATTCCTGAGCACAGAGCCAAGAGGAATGCCTGAGCACCGCCAGGGTGGCCCCAAACCACCCCACACACACTCCAAAAAATAGAAGCCCCCTGCACGTGGAAGGTCATCAGTGAACAGTGGCAGTCCTTCGTGGCTTCCAGTTGCCTGTGGCAGTGAGGTATTGAGAGACGCAGCAGTAACCCCATTCTCTGACGACGGTCTTGTGAGTCCTGAACTGATCTAAGTGCCTTGAGACTCTCACTGCAGCCCCCCACGGGCCCTGCCCCCCACTTATCTCAGGGTCTTTTTCCCAGTCTCCACCCTGAACCAGTATCAGGGCTCTTTCTGCACCCACGACCCTATCAATCACCTTAATCATGGGTGTGACCAACTCTTTCTGCCTCCTTTGCATTTCTGGACCGAATGAGCTTTATGACTCTGATTAAATAGCATATCAGTGGGGTTCGAGTGATAGTACAATGGGTAGGTCAAGTGCTGGTGGCAGCTGGAACTGGTGCTGAGGCCCTGGCCCATCACAGTCCCTGTCTGATGGGCACTCACTAGTCCAGGGACTTGAGGCATATTTTGGACCAAAACAACTACTATGGTCTGAGCCCCATTCTGACCCTCATCCTGCCCCGCATCAGATAGCTCCGGAGTCACTGGAGTCAGAACCCTTCAGGGGTTAGCCAAGAGATGTGGAAATCCCCCATTCCAGGAGAAAGGAGGAGCAGAACCCCAGGGTCACCAAAACTGGCCACGGGCAGATTCTGACTCTTGGGTCTGTCAAAGAATTCAGCCTAGTTAGAAACCAATCATAGATGTTTACTAGGGCACACATAGGTGTGGGGAGGTCCCAGGAGAGGCAGCTGCCTCTAGCAGAGAGTGACTATCAATTTTGAGGGGAGATAGACCTGCATTCTTTTTTTTTTTTTTTTTGCTTTTAGGATCACACCCTAAAGCGATAGCACAGCGGGTAGGGCGTTCGCCTTACACGTGGCCAACATGGCCGACCCGAGTTCGATTCCTCCGCCCCTCTCGGAGAGCCTGGCAAGCTACCGAGAGTATTGGATATGCCAGACACAGTAACAACAAAGTCTCCAATGGAGACGTTACTGGGCCCGCTCGAGCAAATCGACGATCAACGGGAGGGCCTTTACCTTTACCTTTTTTAGGATCACACCCGGCAAGGCTCAGGGGTTACTCCTGGCTCTGCACTCAGGAATTACTCCTGGTGGTGCTTGGGGGACCATATGGGATGCTGGGAATCGAACTCTGGTTGGCCGATTGCAAGGCAAACGCCCTACCCGCTATCGCTCCAGCCCCAGTCCTGCATTCTTGAGGGGGGTGTCTGATGACAGGATGCATGTGGTCGGGACCCACTGAATCCAGGAGACAATTCTTTTTGGTCATGGTGGGGATACGCTGAGTGGGTGACTGGGCCCCATGGAATTAATCAGGGGGGATGGGCTCAGCAGTCCCCAAGAGCTGGGTAATTTTCCATCTTATGGTCAGTCCCTGCCCCCTTATGAATATGTTAATGAAAGCAGAGGAGGGGAGTGAGAGAGAAGGGCTGTAGGGGGGGGAGGAGGCCGGGGGAATTCCCCTGTCTCCAGGTCCCATTTCCCCTTTGCCTTGGTACCCAGGGAAACCCACAGCCCAGACCACCCAGGGGCCCAGGGCCCTTGGTTGGGGATGGGAAGGGATGAACTCAGAGGTGTCTGTGATATCTCTGGGGGGTCCTGTGTCACAGAGGGTGACTCACCTAGCTTGGGCCAGGCAGCCTGGGGAGACGCAAGATTTAGGTGTGACGGGGTGAGGGGTGAGGGAGCAAAGATAGGGAAGGGGAGATTCGGGGCTGGATGTGCAGAGGAATCAAGGGTCCCGCGGGGAAAGATTTAAGGAGGGAGGAGGTGGAGGAAGGGGGTGGGGAGGCAGGCTACTCCCAGGGGCAGGAAAGGATGTGCTTTGGGGGATATCCGCCGAGAAAGTGGGAGTGGGAACGGGAGAGGCTGGAGCCAGGGGTGAGGGCTGGCTGAGGCCACAGAAGCCTGAGAGTGGAGACAGGAAGGTGGGCTGGGTGCAGAAGCAGGTGGGTGTGAACAGGGTTTCCAGGGTGGATCCCCCAAGAGGGGGAATAACGGGCCGCAGGGTCTGGGTTTGGACAGAAGAAGCCAGAGACGTCTGTGGGCGCCCTGGTCTTGTTTGGGTTTGTCAGAACTGGGCTGGAGCCGCCGCAGGGCTCACAGCCAAGAGGACGCCACCTTTGATCTCTGGATGTGTACCTGTTTTGGTGGACAGGAGTGATACGGGCTCCTGGCTCAGCCTGGGCCCCCACCCCGCAGAGGACAGAGGGTGTGAGGCCTGACCCCGCCCCCCTTTGCCCTTTCATCTTCGCACGGGTGTCCACTGTGTCCAGATCCACCGGGATGTTTTCCTCTGTGACTAGAGGGAGACGAGGGGGACGGTAAATGAGGGGGCTGAGGCCTGGGACTTGGGGCACGGGGCTGCCTGTCCCAGGGCACCAGGGGGAGCCCAGTTCCCTCCCCTTCTCTAAGAGCTGGCCTCATCTGCTCGCTCATGCTCGAAGTCCAAGTTGGTAAATGTCCTCGTGGACCTCTCGTCACAGTCATCGAACCAAATCGAATCGTCTTCCCAGAGTCTGCGTCCAGCAGCACTCATCAGGCATGACTGTCCCATAGGGGGCAACTTTGCTGTCCCACTCCCCCGCCATGGTCTCTGTCCCCACGCCATAACTGTGGCCTGCCCTCTGCTGTTGCACCACGTAGAAGCCCACGGCCATTCCCAGTGGCAGCAGCAACACGGCTCCGGCCCCCGCCAGGCCGCCAACCAGCGCCCTCCAGGACACGGCCACCTTGCACCGCGGGCCCGAGTACCAGTGCGTGGAGGAGAAGCAGCTGGTGGAAGGGACACAGGTCACTGACATCCCCCAGGGTCCACTGGGACGGTGGACTCACTGCACCCCTGCTGCAGCAGGCTGGGGTGTAGGAGGTGTGGTGGGGCACCAACTAGGTCCAGAGGGTCTGCTGGGCAGGGCTCCTGGGAGGCGGGACTGGCACTTGGTCCGGGGCGGGGCTCTTTGTCGTGTGGGCGGGCCCTGGACGGGGATCCTCCCACCCGTGGGCGGGGCTCACGGGCAGGTGGGCCCGCTCTTCTCCAGGATGCACCGGCCCAAGTTGCAGTCAATGGCGTTAGGCAGGCCTGCGGAGAAGTTGGTGACGCAGTGGAGCTTGTTGTTCTCCAGGGGGGAGTATATCTCATAGCCCTCAGTAGCAGCGCGTTGACAGAGGTCTGGGGCGTGGGCGGGGGTGAGGGGGGCAGCGAGACAGAGACCTCAGTCACTTGGAGGCCTGGTAGTAGGATAAAGACTCATCTCGGGGCAGATGTGGTGGGAGAGCCGGGCTCCACAGCCCGCGCCCTCTTTGGGGGGTGCTCAGCTGGAAGCGCTAGAGAGGGGGTCCAGCCTGCGCCACATCACCTGTCTCTCTCAAAAGCGTTCCTTCCCAGGGGCCGGAGAGGTAGTATAAGGGCTAGGGCGCTTGCCTTACATGCCACCCATCCAGCATCCCACACAGTTCCCCAACTCATTCCTGAGCACAGAGCCAAGAGCAATCCTGGAACACTGTTGGGTGTAACACCAAAACAAATGAACAAAACCTCTCCCTGCCCTCCACCCAAGCTCTGGTGGGTGGGCATCCCTTGTGAGAGGATTCAGGAGTTCCTGGGAACCCCTCCCCCTCACTTTATAATCCGGCTTGAAGACCGAGTTATCCACCTTGATGGAGTTGGTCTTAAAGCACAGGGCTGGGGGACACAGTTGGAATTGGGGTTGTCAGCGAAACAGGGTAGGTGGAGAGGGCCAGGGGTGAAGTATGGGGGTACCTGGGAAGCCTCCTTCATCTCCGCCAAATAATCAGGGTCCTCTGCTGTTCTGGAAGTTGAGTGGTACTCTCGGGGGTCTCCTCCCAGTCCCTCAGTTCTGGAGAGCTGGCTGTGGGCCTGTTTCCCATCTTCCCATTTGCTGGCAGTGCCCCGCAGGGGCCGTGTGGGTCCTGGAACTCACTCTGGTTGCTCTGGCAGCTGTCGGGGTCCTGGTTGGCACCATGGAGCTCCTCTCTCAGAACCTCCTTCACTTTCTCATATTCCTCACTCAGCTGGGCGCTGAAGGGCAGCTTCAAGAGGACGATGTAGTTCACCACGATGCTGCCCATGCTGAAAGTCGGGACATCAGGGGTCATAGGTCCTGGGAAAATCATCTCCAGGACGAACTGCCAGTGCCCAAGAGCATCAGGTGTCGCAGTCACAGGGGTGAATTGAGGCCTGAGACACAAGCTCAGAAGAGCCTTCTAGCACCCCTGGCACTCAGGGAAGGCAAGACATGGTCATGTCTTGGTCATGGTGGACATGGTCAGCATCAGGAAGTCCTCTCCAAGCCAGGTCTCAGGCTCCCACCAGCCAGAGAGAGGCCCATCACTGCATCTGGACACCAGGGTTCCCCTGGCCTCACACTCTGCTTCCCTGCCCATCCCATGCCCTCTGTCTCCTTCCAGTGCCCTGGAGGGGTAGGGGGCTTCCCTCCCACAAGGAGATGGTTCCAGAAGGTGATGGAGAGACTCTGATGGGCTGATGTCCTGGGCACCCCACCTCTGCCCCTCCTTATGGATTCTGTTTTTTCCCAATGCAAGGATGACTTCTCTGGCCTTTCTCCACACCCATCCCGCCCCACCTCTGTACACTCCCCCCCCCTCCACGGTCCCCAGAGCATCTCTACCTCAGGAATCAGATCTCCACACCCTCAAACTCCGGCACATTTTTGTAAACCATCTTCATTTGAAATATCAAGAATCTCTGCTCTCATGGCTGTATTCCCAGGCCTTCAGGGGACTCCAGTTCACTCCAGGGGAGGACTCAGGAAGCCCCTCTGCCCCCCACCTTACTCTGGAAAGAATTGCTGAAGTCTTTGTGAGCATTGGCTGTGGGATCCTTGAGAACCTCAGAGAAGTCTTGGTCCACAAACACCTCCGTCCCCACCTCAGCTTCCACAGTATCTGTACATGGCATCACAGCTTGCTCCTCCTGCTTGCCTCTGCCCCCCACCCAGGGGCACCCCTGCCCTGCTCCTTGCTCTCTGAGGATCCACAGAGCAGCAAGATCGACAAAGAAGTGGTTTCTGGGCTGAGTTGTCTGCTCAAGTGGGATTCAACATAATGGGACCCAAAGATACCACCCACTCCCACTCCCAAACTTGTCAAGGATATTCAACCCTGGAGGACAAGGAGGAATTTGGGCCAGAGTGATAGTCCAGCGGGGAGGGCTGCTAGGGGTGGAAACAGACATGGTGGGGGTGTTGGGGCTGGTGATGATGGTAGTTGTTGATGCACATGTAGTGGGATACTTGGTTGTGGTGGTGGTTGGGGTTGTTTCACTGGTTGTTGTGGCTGTAGTGATCCTGGTGGGTTTCGAAACATCTGTGGTGGTGAGTGTAGTGGTAAGTTGTAGGGCTGGTGGTTTTGGCAGTTGTTGATTCAGATGTTGTAGTGGGAGATTTGGTTGTGGTGGTGATCGGGGTTGTAGTGCTGACTGTTATGGCTTCCGTGCTAATGGTTGTGGCAGTAGTGATCCTGTTGGTGGTGGGAACAGTGTAATGGTAGCTTTGAGGGTGGTTGTGGGGCTAGTGTTTATGGTAGTTGTTGATGCAGTTGTTGTAGAGGGGGACTTGGTTGTGGTGGTGGTTGGGGTTGTTTCACTGGTTGTTGTCGATTAAGGGAACTGGTTGTGGAAGTACTGATCCTGGTGGTGGTGGGAACTTCTGAGGTGATGACTGTGGTGGTAGTTGTGGAGCTGGTGGTGATGGTAGTTGTTGATGCAGATGTTGTAGTGGGAGACTTGGTTGTTGTGGTGGTTAGGGTTGTTTTTGTTTTTTTGGGTTTTTTTTTTGGCTTTTTGGGTCATACCCAGAGATACACAGGAGTTATTCCTGGATCTGCACTCAGGAATCACTCCTGAGTGCTCGGGGTGACCATAGGGGATGCTGGGAATTGAACCTGGGTCAGCCGCATGCAAGGCAAACGTCCTACTCTCTGTGCTTTCACTCCAGCCTTGGTTAGGGTTGTTGTACTGGCTGTTGTGGCTTCTGTACTAATGGTTGTGGCAGTAGTGATCCCCGTGATAGTGGGAATGGGTGTAGTGGTATCTGTGACGGTTGTTCTGGGGCTAGTGTTTATGTTTTATTATAGTTGTCGATGCAGTTGTTGTAGAGGGAGACTTGGTTGTGGTGGTTGGGATTGTTTTTCTGGTTGCTGTCAATACAGGGGAAGTGACTGTGGCAGTACTGATCCTGGGTGGCGGTGGGAACATCTGTGGTGGTGACTATGGTGGTACTTGTGGGGCTGGTGGTGATGGTAGCTGTTGATGCAGATGTTGTATTGGGAGACTTGGTTGTGGTAGTCGAGGTTGTTTTTCTGGTTGTTGTTGATTCAGGGGAAGTGTTTGTTTCAGTACCGATCCTGGTGGTGGTGGGAACATCTGTGGTGGTGACTGTGGTGGTACTTGTGGGACTGGTAGTGATGGTAGTTGTTGATGCAGATGTTGTAGTGGGAGACTTGGTTGTGGTGGTGGTCAAGTTTGTTGTACTGGCTATTGTGGCTTCAGTGTTAATGCTTGTGGCAGTCATGATTCTTGTGGTAGTGGGAACGGGTGTAGTTGTAGCTGTGAGGGTGCTTGTGTGGCTGGTGGTGATGGTAGTGGTTGAAGCAGTTGTTGTAATGGGAGACTCGGTTTTGGTGCTGGTCGGGATTATTGCATAAAACTTAGTGTCTTCCATGTAGTAGTTGTGGGAGAACTGAAGATGGTGCTGGTGGAAACATGTGTGGCAGTATCTGTGAGGGTGGTTGTGGAACTAGTGATTTTTGTGGTGGTGGAAGTAGTTTTTGTAGTGGGAATCTCAGGGCTATTTGTGATCTAGGTCATTGTACTGATCGTGGTGGCATCAGTGCCAGTGGTTACTGTAGCACTGATGCTGGTGTTGGAGGGTATATGTGTGCCAGTGACTCCAGCTGTGGTTCTGGGGACTGGGGTTGTACTAGAGGGTGAAGTGAGTGATAATGTGGGATTTTCAGTGCTAGTTGTGATCAGGCCTGTTGAGCTGGCTGTAGAAGCACCAGTGGCCGTTGCTTTAGTAGCCATGATTTCTGTGGTTGATGGAATAAATGTGGTGATTGTGGTAGTCGTGGTTTTGGGACTTGGGGTGGTCGTAGTGGGTGAAGTAGTGGGAATTTCAGTTCTAGCTGTGGTTGGGCCTTTTGTATTGGCCGTGGTGGCAACTGTGGAAGACAATGTGTCATCATTGACGGTGGTTGTTTTTGTGAGAAAAGTTGTGAGTGTTGATGTGGTGGCAGTGGTGGTTCTGAGGCCTGTGGTTATGGAAGTGGTTGAAGCAGTTGTGGGAGTCATGGTACTAGTCATGGCTGGGCCTGTTGTGTGGGCCATGGTGGCATCAGTGGGAGTTGTTTATGGCAAGCAGTGATACTGGTGGTTGTAGGAACAGTTGTGTGGGTGGTGGTGGCTGTGGTGGTGGTTGTTGGATTGGAAGTGGTGGTAGTTGATAAAGTGGGTGTTGTACTGGGGGTCTCAGTGCTTTGTGTGGTTGGGGCTAACGTGATGCCTGTTGTAGTTATTCCTGTGGTGCTAGGCTTGGGAGTTGAGGTGGGTGACTGGGTGGTGAGAGTCTCAGTGCTAGTCATGCACAGGTGGTGGTGGCAGTGTGGGTGGTGAAGGAGGGAGTAGAAGTAGTGGCTGTGATTTTGATATGCTCAGTGTCAGTTGTGGCCAGGGGTGTAGTTATGTCTGTGGTTTCTGTGGTGGTAATGAGGGGTGTGGGACCCACGGTAAGGGTCGGTATAATGGAACCGTCAGTGCTGACAGTCCTTAGGGTTGTAATGCCTCCCAGGGGAGTGGCTATAACAGTGGCTGTGATGGTAGTTGTGGGAGTGGAGGTAGTGGATGTGGAGGTGGGACTCCCAATGCTAACAGTGGCCGAGGTCGTGTTGCTATTGGTGGTGGTGCTCATGGTGCTTGTATGTTCTATGGTTGCCCAGACGTCTGGGCCCCGGAGGGCCAGAGGCTGAGCCCTGGGCTGAGCGTCCCCCCATGAACGTCTTGGATTGCCAACTCGGCCCTGCCCACTTTCCTGAGTTCGGCCCATCGTCTCTCCTGCACCAGGAACAAGCTGGGGGTGGGGGCTTTATAATCATGACAACTCCGGAAGGACCCCCAAAATATGTCGATTCTCACACCACCTCTTTAAAACACCTATTTTTTTGGGAGACACACCAGAGGGTGCACGTTCACTCAAAGCACCCAACTCCACTAAGGCCGGAAGTTGACTTGCCCTTATCAAAGATGGCGGAAAAGCGTTCTCGACTCCAAGGGGACAGTCCATCAAGAGCAACCACCGCGAGTTGCTCTGCGCACATGCAGGAGTCCACGCGGCCGGAAATGATGCTCACCCCTTGTCGAAGCCGAAGAGGTCCAGGGAGAAAAGTGCCTCTGAACCAAAAGCGACGCGGGTTCCCGAAGGCCCACAGATACAGGGTGAGTGATGGCCGTGAACTTCTGGGGAAAGTTTCAGATGTAGGCGGCGGGGAAAGCATCTCCTTGACCCGTTAGCAGCGTGACTAGGTCAGACTCACTCTTTCCGGAACTTCCCGGGGCCCCGGTCCGGCGCCCCCGCCCTGCTCTCTTCTCTCCCCTGGTTCCTTTTCTGCATCCTGCTGGGCCTGGCCAGCCCCTCTCCTCTCTCTCTCTCTCTCTCTCTCTCTCTCTCTCTCTCTCTCTCTCTCTCTCTCCTGCTGCTGTCATCCCACCCTGGCTACCTGCCCTCCCAGCAGCGCTTGGGGATCCCCCCCACCACACACACGTGGCTCTGTTACACAGGCCCTGGGAATGTTGGCGCAGCCTCCTGATTCCTGGTGATTTCACTGGGAGAGCCGGGGGTGGCCGGGGTGGCCGGGGTGACCGGGCTGGGCCCCACTAACTCACAGAGCTATTTCGGGCCGGCTTTTCCCCCACACAGCTCAGTGGCTGAAAATAGCCCATGTTTGGTTTGGTTTGGGGGCCAGTGTCCTGGCCTCTGGGCCGAGGGAGTGGGGGGAGCTTGGCCCAGCCTGTGGCCTTTCAGCCGCTGTTGCTGGGGCCGCCCAGGCAGGTCCCACTGCCGTGGACCCCTCCTCAGCCCTGTCCCTCTGCACCCCCACACCCTGAAGCCCGGGTCCCCGCAGGGTCCTGCTGTCACTCTTGTTCGCCTCTCCGAGGGACTCAGGTGGCCCCAGAATGGAGTTCAGCTTTGGGCAAGTGGGACCCGCGAGGGCCTGAGAAGCCGCTTCGTGCCCTGACACACACAGTGGCTTTGTGCGTGGATGTGCGTAGCGGCTGTGGACACCCGCCGTGTGAGCGTGACCAGGGGCCTCTGTTTTGTTTGGAGGCAGGAATCCTGATGGGGAGGCGGCTAGTGTCCACCTTGGGGAGCCGTGGCCGTGAATGTCTGCGAAGGTCCAGCTCCTGTTCATGGAGGCAGCCCTCCAAGGGTGGAGCTGAGGCAGGTATAAAGAGGGGACCCACCCCCACAGAGGGGGTCCTGTGGGCTGGCCAGACTGCTGATAGGTCTCTGCCTCCGCTGTCTGCCTCCTGTACCCCGACTCCTGTCCATTGCCATCCCCACCGTCCTCCGCAGCCCAAGGTCTGCACTGCCCAACCCAGCTTCACTTTCACCTTCTCTGGATCTTGTTCCTCATTCTCAGCATTTCTGAGTGTCTTAGTGACTCCAGGCACATCCTGTTCTCTCTGTGGGATTCTGGATCCCCAGGATAATCCGTTTCCCACTGCTGGCCCGGCTCTATTCCCAGCACTGGTGGCTTCTCTGGCACCCTCAGGAGTGACCCCTCAGCTGGGGGCCTGGAGGATCCCCCCAGCACCATTGGTGTGGCCCCCACACCCACTGATACCTGTCCCCTCAAGAGAAGCAAAACTGCCTTCCGGCTGGGTTGTAAAGCTTTAGGTATTCA